AAAAAAATTCAATAGAATACCTAAGAGGTTCAAGCATGCTTTCTCCCACATAGGCAACAGCTGCGAAGTGCATAACAGCATCAAATGTATTTTCTGCAAATATCTTGTTAACCTAATATATCATGTCAAAGAAGGAACTTAAAAACCCATCTTATGCAAAGATCTATAGAGAAATAAATTGTAACTTGCTGAAAATTCAGATGGTCAGGATACAGCTCTTGCATTGCCTAAATCAGCATAAATAAATTGAAGTCTCCCAGGCTCAGGAAAGAGTGCCTGGAGAATTTTAATAGCTCCAATATTTCCCCTTGAAAGGTTATCCTACAAAATACCATGACAGAAAGAGTAGCTATTACTAGAACATACTTGAACCCCTTCATGCAGAGATCTAAACATTGTTCCATTATGTTTCTTAGGTAAAATTGATTTACCACTACGGTCACTCTATATGAGTCCTTTAACAGTCGAAGTACAGCATGTGAACCAATATAGCCAGCACCGCCTGTTACTAAGACATGAGTTGCCCCAGGCACATGAAGAGATAACTGTAGGAAAAGAATAAATTAAAGAAATTATAGGCAATTTAAAGAGAAGAATCAAACAGTTAAAATCAGGTTTAAACTAAGAATTTCAAAGTGAGTCCATGTCTGAACCTTTTCATAGGGACATTAGTGATGAGCTGGTGAACGATAGAACAATATCACTACCTCAAGGGAAAATATAAAAGAATGTTTTGTATCTGTGTTCTTTAGAATAGTAGTCAATAATCAAAATCTGATACTTTTAAATGGAAGTATGGTTTCTAGAACAAGGCTAATATTTTTATTTGCATGTACTACACCAATCTATGAAGCATTAATATGGACAGGCCACGAAAGCAACATGATATGGACAAGCAACCATGGCTAATTTAATAGAAGCATTAACGACATGGCATGGACAAGGTAACTAGTAATTACATATCTACCAAATCACACTTCTAATTTTATACTAAAAGTACATATAATTTATAGCCTGTTGTCAATGTTGTATTACATATAACTAAGGATCATTATATTATGTAAGCTAATAACAATTATTCATAACATATTTAATGTACAGAAATTAAAGAGATACTCAGAGTCAAAGTAAGTAGAAAGTCCAAGTTTATTAGATATTACCAGTATTTGATTATGTTGAATATTTTTGTAAATGACTTTTCTACGCAATTACTATACTATGATATAAAAAATGTGTAGATAGATAAAAGTAAACTATTCATCCAAAACTAATGTTTGTTCAACGCATATATGATATTGATATTAATAGTATCTTAAGATATCCAATCCTCCAGATTGCCATGGACTATAATTGAGTTATAGCTTTTCCTCCAAATCCAAAAAGATCACTAATTATAGAAACTTAGACTCGTGAAATTTGTTGAAGAGTAGTAACCTACCAAACTGGCGCCACTAGGATCTGGGGATTTCTTCGTTATCAGTATGCACAGGACTATCAGAAAAACTGCAATAAAAACTTTCCCAATAATATGAGGTTTGTGTCTTGAATCTGAATAGTCCATCACTGCAAAACCAAATCAATTAGATCTTTAGAGAGACTACAGATTGGAAAAGAAAAATGATGGAATTAAAAGAATGATCTAAAGGAAGGAATATTTGGGAGCATTTCATAGATTAAAATTTATAAGATTTCAGTAAATTTCAGTGGCACAAAATAAACCAATGATAGTTACATCAATAATCCAAGCAAAACCACAAATAATTTATATTGAGTAACCGATAAAACAAAATGAAGAAGGAAAAGACTATCAGTACCTGTTTCCAATTAATTGGTAGGCAAATGTGACACTGAAAAGGTTGCTAAAATTTAGGGTGATAAGGACCCTGTCTCTCCTAAGAAGCAAATTTACAGTTGCCAACGAGAGAAAGAAAGAGCTGTAGCAAAGTCAATGGCAAATCAAGTTTCAGCTTGGCAGGGAATGAAAAATTATTTTTTTCTCATAATTGTAAGCCTGAGATTCGATATATTAAAAGAAAGGAAAAAAAGAAACAATTTCTGCATGCTAGTCTGCCGTTCAACTCAAAGCTATTACCATAAAGGAAACCAATCTCTCAGTTACACTAGGATTTAGAAAGAGGATAACATGAGAAAAATGCTAAATTGTCAACTTAAAAGAAAGAGCTCGGAGAAGGTTCGTCTCAAAAGAAGTTTGATTATATAAGGTCGACAAACAAGAAAGAACCCATCTTAGCTATACACAAGAGAAAGAAAAGTAATTAGGAAACTGAAATGTCAAAGAAAACAAGAACAAAAATGAAGCTTCCATCAAAACAGAACAAAGACACGCGACATTTCAACAGCACCAAGGAGAAGAGTGATGCGATCCTACAGACAGATAGGCAAGACTAGGAAGAAGGATATATCTTGAGAAGGCAAAATCCAAATGTCGATCGAAAACCAATAGCCACAAAAGTGAGTGAGACATTTAATATTCCTTCGCCACCAACAAATGTATACGAGACCAAAGAGAGGAATCAAATTGCGACTTTTAACATCCCTATGCCACACAAAACCCAAATCTCAATCAAGAACCACCAGCCACAAATATATACGAGACCAAAAAGAGGAATCAAATTGCGACCTTTAACATCCCTATGCAAGCAACATAACCAGAATGAATTCCCCAGAAGACCCAGCAAAAGAAATAAACCGTATAAGGAAGGCAAAATAAGCCGCAAGGCAACACCCCTCGACGAATAGGAACAGCATAAAGCCACAAATCCCAACCGAAACGACACAAAACCAGCAGCGAAGAATCAAACTAGGCAATATAAACTGGATAAAAAACCCGAGTCTTGGCGAAGGGTACCCGGCGACGCGAGTCACATGAGAGGGAGACGTAGGAGTGACCCCCGAAGAACGTAGGCATGAGAGAGAGAGAGAAAGAGGGAGATGTAGGAGAGACCCCTGAAGAACGAAGGCATGAGAGAGAGAGAGAGAGAGAGAGAGAGAGAGTGAGACGAGTCAGGTTGGACCTCGGAAGCGTTGAAATTAGAGAGAGGGAGGAGAGGAAGCGTAGCAGAGAAATGGGGGGAGATCCGCCGCTTCTTTTCTCGCATTCCCATGTTCTTCCCGTGACAGCTGCACTCGCTTTCAAATGCAGGAATCCTTTTGCCAATTTCAATTTGATTGGATAACATGCATTCATCTTTAGGTAACAAATGTACATTTATATTTACATTTAATATCCCTCCAAAATTATTTTTTAATTATTTTTTTATTTATATTTAAGAGAGAGAGAGAGATATATATATATATATATATACAACAAAAAATTCAAAAACTTACGCATACATACCTTTATAGTCAACTCCTATTTTATCTATTATTAACATAATCAAGATCATGCTCGAAACGTACCGCCCGTATCGGACGGTACATACCGGTCCGACAGGTTACCGGTACACGGACCATCCGGTACCGTTATAGTGCTACAGTACTATACTATAGCACTGTTACAATATGAAAAAAAATAAAAAAAATATTCGATACACGAAAGCGTACCGCTCGGTACGATACGATAGAACGAACCTTGAACATAATCACATTGAGACTACAATTAACATTAATACTCAATAATGAATGATAAAAGCAATTGTCTTTAATTAATTGGTAAAAACAATAAAAAAACCAAGTAATTATTGTCGCATATAGCGTTAGTTGATTGGAGATGGAACCGTTTCACTTTCTTTTAGTTTCTAATGACTCATAATTCTTTAACATTTATTTTTATTAGATCCGATAAAATAATCTTATAAACTGACTCAATTAAGATGTGTACGTCAGGCGTTGCAGCTACCGATGCAATGGTTTCAGCAAAATCTCACTGCGAACCGTGATCCAAGAATCTGTCAGAAAGGAAGGCTTAAATAGATTTTGGATAACACCAAGTCAACATGCTGTAAGATTGAGTCAACGCATTGGAGGGACTGATGTGTCAGAAAATAATGGCTCTCATGTCAACGTGCAGGTAACATGGCAGAATGAATCCCTCCTGCGAACCGAACAAAGAGTCAACACCCTGCAGAAACTAGTTAACAGAGAGAAATGCTCAAGTAGATTTTGGCTCAAATATCAACATGCAGGTAAGCTGGCAAAATCTCTCTGCAGACCAAGAGTCAACACAAGGAAATGCTAAGTAGATTTTAGCTGACATGTCAACGTACAGGTAAGGAGGCACTGGTGGTAGTGAAATCTGCATGAAAACCATGAGTCAACACAATGGAGGACTAAGAGACTAGTATTAGTTAAAAGGGATTTGAATGAATATACGAGATTTTTATTGATAGAAGATAAGATTTTTTCAAAGGAAATCTCTCTATTCTGTTGAGGAAAATCCTCTATTCTGTTGAGGAAATCCGTATTAAAGCATTTTCATTTCTTCAATAAAGCAATAATTATTCTTATCTTCTATGCCTAAGAGTCTCTCTATTCTGTTGAGAAAAATCGTATTTTTATTTTTTCAATAAAGCTTCTTCTTCAATAAAGCTTCTTCAATAATTGTTCTTATTATTTTCATTAGTTATAAAATATTTTGTGTGTTTGATAAATAATAGATAAAAATTATATATTTTTTTAAAATATACATTGATGTAAGTGTTGTTTGATAAAATTATATTTCAAAAGTTTACTGAATATTTTATGATAAATTTATCCTTTAAAAATTAATAAGTAAATGAAAATCTTATAAAAATTTCATATGACCCAAATATATAATAAATAAAAAATATTTATATAAATAAATAAATTTATATAAATATTTGTTTATTACTAAATAATTTTGATAATTTTAAAATTTAGATAAAATCATAAAATATTTTTAAAATTAAAAAAAAAATTATATTAACATCCTGCAAATACTATTATGAGATAACATCAACATTTGAGTATTTCTAATACAGTATCTAAGCTAGATATGATTTTCAAAAAAAATTACTAAATATCAATTCATATTTGACATGTGCATTGGATGCTGAATGCACATTTCAAATATGTTCTCAAGCGTACCGTAATTAACAGAACACTTTAGCTCACATGTCAACCTGCAGGTAGGTGGGCAAAATCTCTCTGCAAACCAACAGTCAACATACAGGTGAGGCATCAGCCATATATAAAACATAGACAAAGTGTAAGTAATGTTTGTGTGAATGAAAAGTTGGGAAAAGTAGGAAAAGGAAAGTTGGTGGTTGCCAACTTTAGGCCTGTTCCATTTGATGGTAAACTCATAGCTTGAGAGAGAGAGAGAGAGAGAGAGAGAGAGGGGTATCATGGCCCCTCCTTTGGTCTGAGTTGTTTTAGATGCCAAGTGCTTTTCATGCTGAACTAGTCAGCTTAGCTTTAACAACTTTTGGATGCAGAAGACAACCATCTGGAACGATAAAGGACAGTGTAATCCTACCAATCATGAAAGCAATTGCATACCTGTCATCGTATTTTCAAGGTAAAGCCCCTTTCAGACCAAAAGTTTGTGCAACTTCTCAAGTTATAGCCATTCAGAATAGAAGTTTCTCTGTAAATAAAGACCATTTTGAGAATGACTCAGAATTCACAAGAGAACAAAAAATAAAGACTCCTCAAGCATCAAGCATAAAAGAAAATTTGCAACAATTTATGGATCAAATCCAAAAAGGATTTCAACTCCTAAAAGCCGCACCTCAAAAGAAGCAGTTGTTGCTGAAGGCCTGATCAAAGTAGCTAAAGCAAACTCCCTACGGCAACCAACAAGACAAGAACTAAAAACAGAGAAAGCTACAGATCCTCAAAAGAGAGCAGAAAAGAAACGCTTAAAGCAACAGAATCTGTACAGTTCCTATCCCTATCCATCTGGAGTTACAAATATGGAGCACCCAAATAAGCTCCCCTGGAAGAATACTTCCATTCGAATCCAACAATGTTCAAGAGCCAGTATATGAGAAGACTGGTAGTTGGGCTAATAAAAAGGAGAACATGACAAGTTTATCTGTTCAAACTCTATCAAGGTTTTACTGTTTTCCACCTGCCAACAGCTTGTCTTGCTGAGGAAGCAGCATGTATGTGTGACGTTGGCAGTGGAATGTCAAAGGAGGATCACGAAAAGCTAAGTTACTTTTCATCATGCATGTGAATAGTCAATACTCCGACCTGAAACTCAATGAAGAGTTACTGGTTCATTGCATCCCTAAGGACAATTGTACCCAGTAGCAATCATTGTTCTCCGAACAAAATCAAGTAACAGCTTACGCTGAAGTTCATTATTATGAGGAAGACCTGAAAGTAACGAGCCCACAGGCATATCCCAAATTATAGCTTGGGTGACTTCTGACCCAATAACAGCAGCATTTGGAGCCTGCATTGTCAAGGACTGCATTATACTGTCATATGTACTAAGACAGTACTTCTTGATGCTTGCCACACGTTGCGGCTGGGTATGCTGCAACTTATAGCAGTATCATGGTCAGTTAGAAGCTCTGTTGCCCTATCAAGAACAGATTTTACGACGACAGAAGCACCATCACCAGCAGAACTTCCAAGCGGACGAAGAGGTGGCTGTTCTGAAGAATAAACAACAGCAGCTAAGCAAGCACTGAGAGCATTGAGATCTATGCTATGTATTCATGAAGAAATACTCTTTACAAGATTAATTGTACTTTCAGCTGCACTAGAATCCAATGGCAGCACACCAAATAGAAATCTCAGGCGGCTGAAAAAAGCCATGCAGACGACACAGGTGAGCTCACTGCCAGGCATGAGAAGCTGAAGGTAGCAGGAAAGAAGTTTCCGGCCCCTTGGAAGAGAGACTACACGAAGAAACATGATCACTGTGGCTGGCGCAGAGTGGCTAGAGTTACTTGGGCCAAGTAGATCAACTAGCTAAAGCAATGTGGCAAGCTCTTGTAGGAAGACTTCCCTCTTCCACCTAAGATGGGAGCCACCATCCTGTGGCTGGCTAAATTGCAGCAGGCGATCGATGTAATCTACATCAAGTACAAGGCAATGGCCATGCTTGATGGTGATTCTAGCAGCCACCATAGGCACTTGCTCTAGAGTCTTCAAATAAGATTTCTGGTCAAGGATGTTACCCACTGATGATCATTGTGATTCAACTTCAAGAAGAGGCTGTGGACTATGAATGGAGGAGAAGGAAGGTCTCCCAAGAGCAACCACCTGCAGATGTGCAGGTTGTTCATCCTTGGACTGTGATAGATCCTTAGTGACATTTGGGCAGAAATGGAGCTAATGAATTATGTATAATTTTTTTAATCAAATCCCTAAATTAGGTATATTTTTTTCATTTTTTTTTTGCTAATGAAATTTAGGAAATGATTATTCAACATACCAAGTAGGATAACGTTATTTTTGTTAGTAAATTAAACAAAAATATGTATTAAATAAATATAAAAAAATTTCAGGATATGACATTTTTTTTTTGTATCAGAGCCAACTTTGTATTTGGGTATGATAAGGGGGCTCACCAGTGAATGGAGTCAAAGGACTCGTCGTGACATGGAGCTACCATATACCATGCTAAGATTTGATCTGGGCTATGATGGGTCTTACAAGGACATCAAGTCCTTGAATGGAAAAAATTATAACATCTCGATTTGTCCCACATCGGAAATGGACAAGACTAAAATTAATTTATAAGGGTCTGATGAGTGTACTACTATCAATCTCAGCTTAAGTATTTTGACTAGTGATTTAGGCCAAACGAAGTTGATAGGCCTGATGGCCAAACGAAGTTGATAGGCCTGATGGCCCAGTTAGCCCATCATCTTCGATTCGTGACATGGTGCTTTAGATTTAATGAAGCTGATCTCTTTGCTAAGCAAGTTTGGTGATAGTAATCATCTAAAGGGTTATTGCTGTGAGTTGAGCATTGCTGCAAAATGTACCCAAGCTCTTTAGTCTGCCACTATGGTGTGAGTGATTTGGGGAAAACAGTGATGGTGCACCAGGTGGTGGGAATGAGGATGAGAATGTAACCAGCACCTTTTACCATCTTGGACATTTTCAGCATCTATATGCTGATCTTGCTGGTTCAAAAACTCTGGGTTCTGTGCCCAGTCTGCAGTGGATGAACCTTAAAAGGCAATGTCTCAGTCAAAGAGGTCTATATGACCAGATTGTTAGAAGAATCTACGTACATAGAAAATCAATCCTAATCAAAGAATTACCATGCTAAGGATATCCTACAGAGAGTAGTCAAGGATTAGCTTGATGCAGAAGGCAGAGTATCAAAAGCAAACATTTGATAAGATAGGAAAGATCACTTGTTCGTGTCATTTAGATGATGCTCCCACCATCTTAAGCAGATTTTTCCAGGAACCTCTCGAGATTCAAGAACATGGACTAGCTGAAGCCCTTTTCCAAGCTAAAGCCCTCTACAGACAGCAAATATGCACCACTGTTGTAAATTTATCATTGCAAGGGTGATGATATACATAGAATACGGTGTGCATAATAAACCAACTGTATATATTAATCCAGATCCATACTAATACACTGGTGTACTATGAGTTACCATACCAACATATCAAATATTTTCTCTGTTTTCTTATTACTTAATTGAGGCATACCATCCGGTGTGTGTACCAGAACCAGATCTTAAACCTTGGCACATGGAATGTAAAACCTCAATCATATCCAAGACAAGTTGGAAAAAAAAAAAAAAAACCAAAACTAGAACCATGATAAAGTATTACTCTCTACTCATTTTGTACAACAAAAAAGGTACCACTTTGCAGTAAAATCTACAAGAAATAAATACACTTACCTAAAATGCATAAAAGAGAAGAAAATATACACCGGTATCGGCTAAAAGCATGCTTCATTGACATTTTATTCACTAAGTAGAGCTTGATAATACAAATTAGAAAGTTAATAAATGAAATAGCACAACTCACTTGCCCTAGGAAAAGAACATCTCTTGCCAATTACTCCTGTGCTCCTTGGTTGGACTGTATCCTTGTGTGACTGATAGGCAAAAAAGAATAATTAACAAAATCACTTGTTGTAGAATGAAAACATGGACATTTGAAACTTAAATATACAAGCCACATATGCGTATGAAAAATATATTCATATTTATCTTTATAATTTCACCTAGCTAATACAGTTTTTATAATAATTAAGAAATTCACAAGATGATACCATTTCTTAAATAATAAAATTCTAAGGAAAAAGACAAATCTAATCAATTTGTATGTTAGTCTTCCAATTTATACCATGGATTTTCTTTCCATGATATAAATTTATTAGCTTTGTCTTTTTATACTTGACATGATAAAGACAATCGATAGTATACTTGTAATGTACACATCAAATGTAAAAAATATGAGCGCATGAACTATCATTCTCAAGACATACTGATCGACAGAGGAAATCAGATTGGTATCAAAGAGTCAACTGAAATAAATGCCAAAACAGAAGGAACAGAGCTACCAAATACCATGGAGCAAGCCATAATAATGAACAATAGGATGAAGATGGCTCCACCAATTAATACAACCAAATCAAGATAAACTAGTAAGCATGATGATTGAGTTCTCCTACTGAGTAAACTTACTTCTACTCTATTCACCAGGGTGAAAATATGATCTTCCTCCTCGTCGAACACAATACGATGGAGATCAACGCTACCACTGTCATCTTGTAATCCCCCCAACTCAAATTCATCAAAGAGACTGTCTCTGAAAAATGCATATAGTGATGCATCAAATTGATTCATATGCTAAAGACAGCAAATCCAATTCTCTAATCAATAGGGCGTTGCCGAGTATAGCGTATACACCGCCAAGAAAAGAAAAAGGAGAACGGCATAGGGAAGAAAAATCACGTGTGGCAAGTTCATCATCTAGGCATTAGAGCCAACGACGGACCCGCCGCTCAAAAGCTATCGCCCACTTTGTGATCTCCTGCAGGCCTAACGCAAACGACCCAAGCAAAGACTCCACGAGAATCACAAGCCCACCTCTTCTCAACCCAATCCAACAGTATGACACCATCAAGAACCAATCTTTCCCATCAAGCCGACACACAAGACCAAAATCCCCAAGAAAACCGGAGAAAGAGAAGACGAATCTCACCTGCAAAGCGAACGCTCGAGCCTCCAACCCCGTTACCAGGGCCTTTGTCCACCGAGGCCCCACCCTTCCCATCGGCCACCGCCATCAGCTTAAACCCTAGCGCTCGGGTTATGCAATGCATCCCGCCTGTAGAATTCGGTGATGCCGGAAATCTGCTAGCCGAAAAAGATGCCATCTTGATGGCCTCCACTTCAAAAGATCAGAATTCCAAGAAACTATGTTGTTGATGAACCCCAAAAGGTAAAGAAATAGGAAGAAGAAATTATTAGTGTGTGGACAATTAAGAGAGGGGGAGATGATGAGAAGGAAAATTTTTGTAAGGTTGATTTGAAGAGGAAATTCTAAATAATATTCAATGCTTATTTTTTATTGTGATGAAGGAATATTTTGTAATATTCCATAAATTTTTTCTTCATTTTACTGCCTTTGATTATTTTATGTATGTATTATAAGGAAATTGAGCTCATTAAGTGTCTAACTTTAGCCAAAATATCAAATAGATATCATCTAATAATTTTATTAAAAATTTATTAAAAATTAAGGATTCGAAAACTCATTCGATATAACATATTTTTATCAGTCAAAATCTATGACGAAATCATAAAAAATAATTAAAAAAAGAAGTATTTGCATGAACTGATCAACTGTTGTCTTCTCATGAATTGCTG